TGCTGACTGCGAAGTCATCTACCTGGTGTGGAACGATGAGGTCTGTTGTGCAGCCATGGACCACAGAATAGATTTACAAGCACAGAAACTGTGATCAAAAATCAGGCTTTGATCGATTTATTGTGCAGCACATTAGAAGTTTCTGCACCACTTTAATGATATGATTACATTATCATGCATGTCTGACACTTTTAAAAGCTCCCTGTTCTCATCAAATATACGCCACCACATGAATCATTTCTTCATTGTTTCAAAACAGCAGTAAAGATGTTATCTTCCTTATTCTCAATTTGCAAATTACATAATAATACTATAGGCTCCAGCGCCCCTGCGATCCTAGTGAGGATTAAGTGGTGTATAGATAATGGATAATAATACTTCATTGATACTTTGTTAAACATTAACTTTTGTTTTTGCCCTTTGTGTCTTCAGGAGGATTTTTCAGACCGTGTGTCTGATATATGCAAATCCTGGATAAAGAAGATTTGTGTATTCACTGTAATCAAACCTTCTGACAGGTCAGCAACATTTTAGTCACCTAAACAGTCACAGTTCTTCTCTGTAATGTTTTATTTGCCATTTAAACATTAAAAAAAAAAAAAAACAGGGTCATACCATATTTTCCTTTCTTACATATTAAATTCTCAATTGCAGCCACATTCTCTGCGGCTGGATTTCTGGGCATGAGGCTGAGTATATGGAGACGCTTCCTGATGACCAAATCATGCGTTCCATCACAGAGCTCATCCATACGTTCACAGGTGAGTCTCACATCTGTAGCTCTCCCCACCTTAGTATGGATGAAGATAGAGAATGAGATGTTTAGTTTTTCCATTTTGTAGAATTACAAAACTGCTTGACGAACAGAAGACAGTAACATGAAGTACTTTATATTAAATATGTGAAAGAAAAATGAGACGAAAGAGTAACGAAGAAGTCAAATTTAAACCTGTAAAAGAGGTTAAAGATTTGAAATCTCTGTATGCACAAACATTTTTTAACGGCATTTCTAAAATGTCTTGTTATTATAATGTTATAAAAAGCTAAGGGCAACCCAGTAGTTGAGCAGTTAGTGTTCATGCTACATCGGCACAAATGCCGCTGGTTTGAGTCTTAGCTGAGGACTTTTTCATTCATGTTGTTCCCCGACTGCCTTTTTCCACATTTTCTGTTTCTCTTCACTGTCCCTATGAAATAATGAGTCAGAACGTTAAGTCTAAGTTAGTGTTACATTAACTCTGATAGCTTTCCAACTCAGAGCAATGCTTTATATAAACATATGTCAAAAGCTGGTAGTCATGCTTGTTGTAGCTAAAAAAAAAAATCAGCTTCAAGAGCTGGCCACTGTACACATGGTAGCTGCTTTTGATTGAGAACACAGTTTGGCCTTTCCTGTGGTGCCACCTTCTGGCCAAACTGTGTATGTTGCATTCAGGAGGGAATTTATAGAATCTGCTTTTTAGGACAGGGCTGCCAGGTGAGCATATTTAGTTATTGGGTTTTATTGTTTATTTGGTGGAGTTACTGCTCCGCCTATAAACAGGCTGGCTTTCTGAGCGTTCGCTTGCTCTCACTCGTGCCTCCAGTCCCGCTCACCTCACAGGCTCCACCTTGATGCGGCACACCTCCGACCTGTGCGTGCTCCCGACTCCAGCTGATATGGTGTCTGGTATCTTTTTGTACCAGTTTTTCTCGTTTGACCTGGTGGGATCAGCCATCCTGTTTTTGTTCGGCTGT